TGTGCACAAGCACTCTAACAAAAAAGGAAGAAGTAAAGTTTAATTACAATGAAGCCATTCTAAAGATTCATTCTCTTTCTAACAACATATAACTACAGCACAAGTTAATAACTATCTGCTCAAAGCCAGTCTTGCTACTACATGATTCCAGTTAATTTATAAGAAAACATCACAGCATCACAGAAATGAGCCACAGGAAATAAATAAGGACAAGGCAAAAACAGATTAGCAGTACCAGTCAGCTTAATAACAACAGATTTAGTGTACACTAGCACAATGACAGCTTTGTCTCCCTCCATGGTTTCCAGATTGTACTCCCTCTCCCAAGGGTAGTCACCCTGTTGCTTTATACCTCAATCCAGCACACACACATACACCTGCACATGTGACCAAAATTTCAAGCATTTTTTTTCTCTCTGCCTCAAACTTCCTCATAAGACTTCAAAAAGTCTCTTTCAAAGATTAAAATATAGCAAATAACTACTTGTTACTTTAAAAATGTAAAAGTATTCTTAAGAATATAATGTAAAGTATATAGCAAAACAAACAGGATGTACCTTTACTTGCTTATGTGCTACTGATCTGAATGAAGCATGCACATTATCACCCTGCACAATAAAAACTCAGTTTATTCCGTCAGTAGCACACTGAGGCATCCCTTCTATAAACCATTAACAGTATCCACTATAGTGAAGCATGATCACATTCCAGAGACACTGTTGCTTTTAAATTTATTAAAGGGAAATTCTGGCTCTACCTATTTTGTTCCACACAAAATCAAGAATGAAGCCATATTCCTTTTATTGTTAAATGACAGAGGGCTGTAAATCTCTTTCAACTTGTTGGTCCCTAATGTAACAGGATTACTCTCTCGCCTTCTGTGAAATACAAAGGAGTGAACAGATGATCATCTAGATCCTGAATTGGCTGTCATATTCAGAAAACTTCAGCGGCCTTTGAGAATTATGTCCCTTTACTAAAAGCAAATAAATAAAATAAGGTCAATTCTGGATGGTGATATTTTCTTCTGCAGCCTGAAGACTTTTTAAAATATAGTTTATTATACCTATCATAACTTCTATTGCTTTTTTAAAATGCATTCAAAAACAGCAAAGCCCTTGAAGTCCAGCCCTTGATGATAGAAAAGGGACTGTGATCAGAAAGAAGAAACTACTAAACAGGTAAGAGAAATACTGTATCTATCTCCTCTTTTACAACCAACTTGCTTGCATTGAGTATCCTCCTTAATGTAATCCTTTATGTTGCTATTACTATACAAAACAAAAAAGGAAGTTGGAAGATTAAAGGATAAACATTCCTTGATTTTTTTTTTTTCCTCAAATACAGATTATGAGCAAGTCATGAGATGGTGAGAAAATTAATAAATAGTATAGCATACCTGTAGTCTGGGCCCATGCCACTATATACCAAGCCTATGTGTTTGGTAATTGGCTCCACTTTGTGTACACTTCGCTCATCATACAGAATGGATTTCTGTTTCTTCTCTGTTGCTAATACCACACCATTTGAAGCTTTAAAAAAAAAACATTTCACTAAATGTTTAATCATTTAAAGACTTCTTCAAGAGCTTTCAAATAATAACTACATTTTACCAATGTTCTTTTACTTTCAAAACTTTTTCTTCTGGATTTCTATATTAAAACACATTGTGTACCAGTAGTTTTATTGCTAGCTTTACCCAGTGGCCAGGTAAGTTTCTATCGAATAAGTACAAATAACGTTTTACATAAATGTTAAAGGCACGCTTTAAAATTAAATACCCATTGCATTTTGAAGCTATTTATTACATGTTCTTATAAGCTAGTATCTTTTTAAAGTATGAGACTTTGCAAAACACTGTGTAAGATAAAGCAAGAATTCTCATGATTCATCTGCAATGTGTTAAAAATCACCTAAGGAGCAACAATAAATCAATTTTTCCCTCAGTGGTCATCTACATGCACGAAAAAATCCCAACAGCTAACAGAATTACACAGCTTCCTTAGAAGTATTCCAGGACATCTAAGAGTCCACATGTTTTAAAACAATGGAATTTTGCCTACTTGTCCTACTCTTCTTATAACCTGAAATTCAAAAATCAATGACAAAGACTTTTTTTAAAGGGTATCTTTAGATAATAACCTTTTCTAAATTACAGGAAGGATAAAAACTGCCCGAGAATAGTGATATATAATTAATGGAAAAATAAAATAACACTCAGTTATTTGAATGGGAAAGACTATAGATTATCACAACTAATTAGATAAAGGTGCTATATTTATTTTGAAAAAAAATTTAATCATCTTGTTAGACTTACTATATTCTTGAACCTTCAGATACTGTACATTAGAACTGTAAAAATTATGCTGCCACAGCTTTTTATTCACAAATTATTAATTCCATAAGAACATGGGGATAAGTATTAGCAGGCATCTGAAATGAATGAAGTATTTAATTACCTTTAATTCCCACTGAAGGGGCTCCTCCAGCTACAGCAGCCAAAGCATATTCAATCTGAACAAGTTTACCAGATGGGCTTAAAAAGAAACAAGGGTGTTCATTAAATTCACACATTCTCAAATATTTATTATAGAAACTTCTCCAAATCCATTAATCAAAAATCAAGAAATTGCTAGATTTTGAAATCCTATATAATAAAGAGCTAATATGCTAATTAGACAGAACAGCAGAATGACCATCCAGACAACCTTCCAGTCAAAGTGGAGCTGTGAGGGCCAGGGGCCGAGCCCCTTGCACAAATTTCATGCAAGGGGTCTCTATCATAAAGTTGTGTGGAAACTGAAGTTTACTAGGCAATTTGAACATATTCATAGTTAAGAGCTAATCTGTTTCCTTAGGTTATTTTCTTGTTTGCTACTTAAGTAAGTATCATTCCTGTAGCCTTTCACCAGTTACCTCAACCTTGTGATTTGGGGCAAGTTATTAAATCTCTCTGTACCTCAGTTTCCTAATCTGGAAAATGGAGATAAACAGTACTGAAGTACTCTGTTTCCCTGAAAATAAGACAGTGTCTTACATTAATTTTTTCTCCCAAAGTTGCACTAGGTCTTATTTTCAGGGGATGTCTTATCTTTCCATGCGCTAGGTCTTATTTTCAGAGGATGTCTTATTTTCAAAGAAACACGGTAGTTACCTATTTCAAAGGTTGTGAAGATGAAATGATGCCTTTTGTTCCCAGCACAAAATTAATAAGTAAACACCAAAATAGTAATGTTATTAAGAACATGAATGTGTCTGTTAAATACCAAACAGGAGCTATATATATTTTAGAAAGTAGAATGGCATAAGACTTAAGACCTAGGTATCAGTCACAACAAAGTACTCCCTATATAGTATAATATGCACGTTTACCATACTTATCATTGCATCTTTGTCTATGAAAACTCACTCATCTGTGAGCTCCCTGACCAATCTCTGTATTCAATCATGCCTCTACCCCATTCCAAAGCACCAACATCTCTATCTGGGATAAGTGAAATAGCTCTTCTTAACTATTTTCCTCTTCCATCCTTACCTCCATCCCCCAGACGGAATGACCTGTGTACCATGTCACTCCCCACTCAAGCTCTACAGTAACTTCTGGGTTCACATAAAATAAAAACTCCTTACTCTAGCCCACATGTGTCAAACACAAGGCCCGCGGGCCAAATCCTTGATAGCATGTGAGTTGGTTAACAGCACTGTTAAGGAAAAGATTGTTCCACTCATTTTAAATTCACATTTCTGGTTAACATTGTCAGTTTATGACTGTTCAGTAAACCATTCGGCCCGCGATTTAGGCTGGATTTTAGATTTTGGCCCCTTCTCTGATTGAGTTTGACACCCCTACGAGTCTAGCCCTACAGGACTGGACTTGACCCACGCTAACTCCTTCCTCACTATTTGCCTTACATCAATTCCTTGAAGAGATCAAGCTCTTTTCCAACTTTAGGACTTTCATACATGCCGTTCTCTGTCTGCAATGCTCTCTAACCCCTAAATCTTCAAACAGCTGGCTCCTTTTCATCTTCCAAGCTCAAAAACCACCCTCAAGCATTGGCCTTTCCATGATTACCAAATCTTAAGTTATGTTCCTTCTAGACCCACGAGTCTCAGAGGGAAGGGGGGAGCGGAAAGAGATCAACCAAAGATCTTGTTTGCATGTATGCATAACCCATGGAGGTGGAGGCCCAACTGCATGTGATACACAAGCATGCCTAGGTGATGACAGAAAGCTTACTTGGCGCTTTCATTTTTAGTTCCTGAGCTTCAAATACGGGCATCGAAGAAACCGAAAGTGGAGGTTTTGAAAGACACTCGTACGAAAAGGAGGCTAAAACTCACATCAAATGTTAAACTGAGGCTTTCTGAGATGTGACCAACATTCCGAGCTCCAGAAGCTCCGGAGTCAGGCCTACCTGGGCCAGGAAGAAAAATCCTGAGTTCTGAAAGGGACACCCAGACACAGCTCAGCCAAAGCTGCCTCCTTCTCTAGCATCCAAAGCGAAAGCAAATCCCCGGCTGAGGCCTGTACCTTCCCACCACCTCAGGGTCGCCCGGGTCTCCCGATCTGCGCTCCCCTGGCCTCCCGGGACCGCTGCTCCTTGGGCCGTGGGCGGGCCCGATAAATGACTTTGCAAAGTCCTCCTTCCACCCCTCTCCCCTACTGGGCCCTCCGAAAGCACCGAGCCGAAGACCATGTCGGAAAAAATAAAATAAAAACCCGGTGGGCAAAGATCCTGCAACCTCAGCCACGCAGATGATCTCCATACCTGAAAGTAGTCAACGAAAAGCTGTACCCGCGCTCCGCCATCTTTACCCGGAGAGGCAAAGCACGCTCTCGCGCCTGCGCACTACGTCCGGCTTCCTCTTACGTCCCTCCGGGCAAGTCTTCCTGTCTCTTCTCTGATTGGAGGAACGTCAGAGCCGCTCCCGAGGCATGCTGGCCTTTGTAGTTCCAGAAGCCGGGCTGGCCGACTCTGCGTCTTGTGCGCATGCTCCGAACCGGGGCGGGCCTCGGCAGCGTTGTTGGAGGCTCTGGTGTCTGCGGCCATGCTGGTGCTGGTGGTTCCGCCGTGGCCTGCAGCCCGGGAACTTCTCCGGAACTGCTGGCAGCGACTGCAGTGGACACTCCAGCAGAGCCGGCCAGGCTTTCCCAGGCCTCCGTGGGGTACGTAAAGGAGGTGGCGGTAGAGAGGAGGTAGAGGAGGGAACTCCAGGCGGCGCGGCGGATACAGTTCATACGCCGCCCTTCCTTCTCCCCGCGTTTCCAGCCGCGACAGGGGACGTGTTCAGGGACACTTCCTTAGGGACGAGAGACCGATGTTTGTTTTTCTGCTTCCTCTCCGCAAAAGAAAAAGCCCTCCGACACATTCTGACAAACGTTACTGAAGCATCAAGGGCCGCCACTGTCGGGATCCTGGGATCTGTCCTTTCCTGCCCTCCCACACCTTAGAGCAGTTTGTCCTTGTGGTGTTTGAGCTCCGTGCAGCTAAATCCCGATCCCCGTGTTTCCCCCCGGAAACTAATTTGTATTGGAAGTGTCTTAGATGTTAAAATGGTATATTTACCCTCTGATTCATTTCTGAGGTCTACCAAACGTGGTGATACACAGGCGGTCTGGAGTGAGAGCCCACTCACCATATGCCAAAGCCTGCCGGTGCTCCCCGGGGTTATTCCCAGAACGGTCCCATCCGACCTCACCTTTCCGCGGAGGAATCAGGCTGAGAAAGGTCCCAGCCTTACACACGCCTTCCAGAGCCTGTGCTGGTAACCCCTGGCCTGTGCTTACAGATATGTTTAGGTAAAAAGGAATACCAGTTTTTAAGTGTTGCACAGCTTTGTATACATTTTTATTTTTAAAATGTAAAAATAATTTTTTTAATTTATTTATATTAGAGAGAGGAAGGCTGAGAGGGAATCAAACTCTCAACCTTGGCTATTGGCACCGTGCTCTAACTAACTGGGTTACCCAGCCAGAGCCTGTATATTCTTAAGAGTACCTGAAATCAAAAGGAATGTTTCAAGTCTGAGAAATGGCAAGGAGCGGGTAAAGGAATCTGTTTTATTTTATAAACAATCTAGAAAAAAGTGAAAAACGTTGATGGTTACATAAACTAATATGCGAAGAGTGGTGAGCTAGTGCTTTTTCTTAGCAAACAGACAGGAATCAAGATAAAATATTATGAACTAAGTGATGCAAATAGGGCCTGCGAGCTTATATGACGAAGGAACTAACTCAGTTTGAATATAATTAAAAAGCCAGTAGGCAGTTTTCTCACTAGGTCAGAAGTGGCCTTTGGGACTCTCAAGCTTAGATTTACTTATAAAATAAGTAGGTGTACTGCCCACCGACAGGATATGGACAAACTCTTGCTAGAATTTCACTGATTTCATTTCAGCAGGTGTCTCTAAGAAAAAAATTATACTTGTACTCCTTAAAATTGCTTTATGTATGAGTTTTGGTATAATTTAATAGCTAAGGTTTTCTGTTTAATGTCTATTGAATGTAATATTCTAAATTACAAATATGTCTGTTTTCACATCACTCTTGATTGTTACGGAGAATTATATTTGAAAATAGTCACTTAGAAACTAAAAACTGATTCTGAATCTTCATATTTTATTTTGTAGAACCAGCTTTAGCAGTCCAAGGTCCGGCTATATTTACGGAATCAGCAAATGATACTAATGGAAGTAAGGAGGTTTCCAGCCTTTTGGATAGTATCTTTTGGATGGCAGCACCCAAAAAGAGACGTAGTATTGAAGTTAACCGGTGTAGGAGAAGAAACCCTTACAAGCTCATTAAAGTTAAGGTAATATGTTCATTTTTGTAGGTGTACTTTTTCTCATGACTATCACTGAATATCTTCCTTGTATATTCATATAACTTTGGGTAAATTATTCTCAGATCTTGTATGTCCACTTCTGACTTAAATAAAGTGCAATAGCCCAAACCAGTTTGGCTCAGTGGATAGAGTGTCAGCCTGCCGACTGAAAGGTCCCAGGTTCAATTCCAGTCAAGGGCATGTGCCTTGGTTGTGGGCACATCCCCAGTAAATTAAAACATCAATTTATTGTTTCACCCATCCATGCATTCATTGGTTGATTCTAGTACCTATCAAGACCAGGGATCGAACCAACAATTTTGGCATATTGGCACCTTGCTCTAACCAACTGAGCTACCCAGCCAGGATTCTTTGTGGTTTTAATTTGTATTACCCTTATCACTAAAGTTGAGATCTTTTTCTATATCTATTGGCCATTTGTATGTCTTACTGATGGGTACTTGAGCTGTTTCTAGGTCACACTGTAGGAACGGATCTTCGATGTAACCCTAGGTGCATGTATTCTTTCTGATTGGTGTTTCGGGATTCTTCGGGTATATTCTAAGAAGTAGTATCACTAGTTCAAAAGGCAATTCCATTTTTTAATTTTTCCATAGTGACTGGGCCAGTCTACATTCCCACCAGCAGTGCACTAGGATTCTCTTTTCTCCACATACTTGCCAGCACTTGTCATTTGTTGATTTGTTGAGTTGAGAGTTTCTTATATATTGCCTTATTATGTTGAGATACTTTCCTTCTATTTTGAGTCTTAATATAAATTGATGTTGTACCTTGTCAAATGCTTTTTCTGCACCTATTGATAGGATCATATGATTGTTATCCTTTATTTTGTTAATGTGATTTATCAGATGGATCAATTTGCCCTCTACTTGATAGTGATGTATTATTTTTTTTTAATGTATTATGTTTTTTTACTTGTATTTTGTCTGGGATATTTGTATCTATATTTATTAAAGACATTGGCCTATAATTTTCTTTTTTGTATTGTCCTTGCCATGTCGGTTGGTTGGTTGGTTGTTGTTTTTTTTCTGTCTGATTTTGATATCAGGCTCATGTTGGCCTCATAAAATGTCTCTTCAATATTTGGAAGAGTTTAAGGAGGATCGCTATTAAATCTTCTGTGACAGTTTGGTTCACTAATAAAGCCATCTGGTCCTGGACTTTTACTTTGGGGGAGGTTTTTTATAACTGTTTCAATTTCATTACTGTTAATCAGTCTATTTATATTTTTTAATTCATCATGATTCAGGCAAGGAAGGTTATATATTTCTAAGACCTTGTCCATTTCTTCTAGGTAATCAAATTTGGTAGTATATAATGTTTCATAGTATCCTGTATGGTCCTTTGTGTTTCTCTGGTTTCCAGTTTAACATCTCTTTCATTTCTTTCTGATTTTGTTTGAGTCTTTTCTCTTTTTTCCTTATTGTGTAAAGCCAGACGTTTGCCAGTCTTATTAAACTTTACTTCCTTTCTTCTACTGACTTTGGGTTTCTTCTGTTATTCTTTCTCTAGTTCTTTAAGGTGAAATATTAGGTTTTTATTTGATATTTTTCTTGTTTCTTGAGGACATCTTGTAGTGCTATAAACTTTCCTCTTATTACCACTTTTGCTATATCCCCCAAAATTTGATATGTTGTATTGTCATTCTCATTTGTCTCTGTATCTTTTTGTTGTTGTTAATCCTCATCCAAGGATACTGTTTCCATTGATTTTTTTTTTTTTTTAAGAGAGGATGAAAAGATATTAGAGAGGGAAAGAGGGAAAAAAGAAAGAGAAACATTGGTGTGAGAGAAACACGTGGATTGGTTGTCTCTTGTATGCACTTCACCAAGGCCAGGAAACAAACCTGCGGCCCTTTGGTGAGAAACCTCGATAGGTCACCTCCTTCATGCACCTTGACTGGGGATAGAACCCACAATCCGGGTATGTGCCCCGACCGTGAATTAAACTCGCCACCTTTTGGTGTACAGGACAATGCTCTAACCAACTGAGTCATAGTCGCCAGGGCTGAAATCTCTTTGTTGCTGTTGTTTTATAGTTGAGACTTCACTGTTCAGTAGGTTGATAAGTAGAGATCTTTCTTTTGTTTTCCAGTAGGTGTTGCTGAAGCACAACTCACAGTTACATAGCTGCCTCCCCTCACCCTCCCAGAGCTTACAGCAGCCCCAGCAGATGCCATAGCAGTAGCATGGATGTGGCAATGGCAGCACACACTCTCTGCAACACCGGAGACTGGAAGGGCAGAAGTATTTCTCCCTGAGTGTCAGGCACACACTGCAGCTCAACCCAGTGACGGGCTCCTGGGATCTCTGTGGGGTAGTGGTGTCTTTGCTGCAGAAGATGACCTGCATTCCCTGGGGAGGTGGGCATCCCTTAGTCTCATCTCAGCAGCCCCCCTGTGGGGATTGTGGTAGGCGATGGGTCTCTGGATCTGTGAGATCCCAACACTGCCTCCTGCAGCTAGAGGCTGCTGGCAATGCTGCCTTTCTGAGGGGTCCTAGCTGCCTCCACTAGGCCCCACTGCAGTGGGTGGGATGGGGTGGGTGGGGAAAGGTCTGTTCTTGAGTTTGTGGCCTTGCTCTCCTTCCAGTAATGGTGGCTGCCCGACCTCAGCTGCCATATCTCTGCTCTGTCATCAGGGTAAACTGCAGTATGCTCCTGCGCTTAGAGTTGGATGTGTGCCCCTCCAGTCCTCAGGGCTGCGGAGAGAGTGCACTGTAACCCTACACCTCCCCTGCTTCCTGTCTGCAGCTGCCCCGTGAGTTTTGGGAGGGTGAGGGAAAGCCGCTATGCATCTGTGGCTTTGTCTTCTGCCTGGTAATGGCAGCTACCAGACCACAGCTGCCACACTTTTGTATTCCATCTCTGCCCTTCGCAGGGTTTTGCTGCAGTGTTTACTGGTCACTCAGGAGGAATGCTGATTCTAACTCTGTTCCTTAGGGCTGCAGTATGCACTGGAACCCAACGCTTTTCCTACTACTGAGGGGCCAGAATGAGCTCTGGGCTGCTGCTTTGATGCCCATGTCTGGCCTTCCTCCTTCCCTCCTCCCCTTTTCCCTGAGATCCACCCACCCTCAGATGTTTCAATGCATGGATCTCAGCTGTGTTTATGTTTTGAGCAGAGAATCCTCTGTTGCATTATAGCTGTCAAACTTGTAACTTCAAGGGGAGCACCCTTGAGGGCCTCATGCTACCATCCTGCTGATGTCATTCCTATTTTTCTTTATATTTCAAACCTACTTTTAAACACATCAAAAAGACTTCTTTAAAGGTTGTCATTTTTGGAGAGACATGTGTAAAAACTCATTAAAATACCCTCAATTTATAACAAGACAGAAGTTTTACATTAAGGAGTAACCAATGTTCTTATGATAAAAAGAAAATTATACCATCTACCAACTATACTTCACAAAGGGATTTGAGTTAAATCAAATAAATCAGGGGAAGCCAGCTTGTAATGTGTTTATCGTTTTGTTTTTCTGAAGATAAAAGGAAACATTAATTTTTTTTTTATTATATGCTTAGCATTTGAAGATGTGGGACGGAATAATAGAGTACTGCTTTAAATAATATGACTGCTGTGTAGATTCAAAGTCAGTGGACCTGAGTTGTAGTCCCAGCTTTTCTACTAACTCTAGCTCAATGTTGTTTATCCCCAGTTTTTCTATTAAAGTGAGATTGAACTGGATGGTAGGTGACCTCTCATGCAGAAAACTTCAGTAACTTTTTGTTCATTATTTTGCCTCTTATTAAAATACATTTTTGTTGTTGATTTTTTTTATTTTTATTTTTTCTTATAGCACAACATAGTCGTTTGTCCTGAATGCGGTCACCTGAAACAGAAACACGTCCTTTGCGGCTATTGCTATGAGAATGTGCGCAAGGAGACTAAAGAAATCAGAAAAGAGATGGGGAAACTAGAAGGGGGCCCTTTTAAGGCTCCTACTGTAGAGACTCTGGTGCTGTACAGGGGAGAGACACCGTCTGAACAAGATCAGGGCAAGAGGATCATTGAACGAGAAAAGAAGCGACCATCCTGGTTCACCCAGAATTGACACCAGAGATGGTTAAAAAGGGTAACTTAATGTAAAACGTTGCTCCTGGAAAAGAGGAAGTTTTTGTATTTTTAATGTTTTGTGTCTTTTAAAAATCATCAAGGTAGCTTAAAACATTCTTCATAAGAAGTTTTGTGTGGGTAATTTGAAAACAATATCAGAAATAAAATCTGAAAATGTTTGTGCAGAGGCTCTGGATTTATAGGTCTCTTTCTTAAGATTTTAAGTAAACATTAAATTTTCAGGACAAAACAATAAAATAATTTACAATTCATACCAAGAGTTATGTGTTTGGCTCTGATTTTCTTTGTTTGCCAGTGTTTTTTCTTACATGAGTATACTTACACAAATATTTTTGTTTGAGTAATACCTGGAAGTAGGTTGTTATTTTAATTCTGGGTATTGTTTTTTAAGATGGTAATTCTAGCAATGAGAAAAGGTTTGTTTGGGGGTTTTTGTTTTGTTTTTGAAAACTAAAATTGCCTTTGGTGGTATTTATTCAGGATGCATTATGTTAATTTACTTGGGAAAAATAGTTCTTGACATTTTACATCAAATCAAAATAACATTTAGAATTCATTAAACAGCTCATAAGATTTGTAATTATTGTTTTGGGAGAAAGACTTTTAAAAGGAGTGAATTCAATAGTACACAGAACATGTGTTAAGGATGTTGCCTTCACATTTTCCTTTTAGTATGTCCTTTTAGTTTATTTTACATTTTTATTATTTTTATCTCTTTGTAGCAATGTCCTTTTTAACTTAAAGCAAATCATTTAATATTTCTTTCTCCTCTGTATTTACCTTGAGCCCAAGGTTTGCTTTTTTTTTTTTTCCTAAGTAGGATAACATTAAAATACACAGAGATAAGTAAGGGATTATGGTTAAATGGAAAATCAGTAGACATGATAAAACCCAGGAATATATTGAATAAGTATTAGAATTAGGCAGCAAATTCAACACTCGAACTTCCTTTTCCTTGCAAAGAGTTTACATGGGTAAGTCTCTACAAGTTAAGACATGATCCAGAAATACACCACTATCTTGGTACTAAGGCCTGATGGATATTTCTCCCAGGCAACTTTATAATGAGAATTCTGTGACTGGTAATCCATGTTATTCCTAGAAGTAAAATGACCAGTTTAATGAGATATAGTAAGACCAATAATATGTCAAAATTCAGTTCAGTTAGTTTTAGATCCTTAAAACTAACATATTGGAATCCCAGTAAATAAGTCTTTTAAGGCTTGGCTTGATATGGGCATAAAATTAAGTTTCTAGAGCACATGTGTCAAACACAAGGCCCGCGGGCCAAATCCGTCCCGCCAGGCCTTGCAATGTGGCCCACACCGCACTGTCATCACTGCACTCCGCTGCGTTTCCATCACAATGACAGTTTATGACTGTTCAGTAAACCATTCGGCCTGCGATTTAGGCTGGATTTTAGATTTTGGCCCCTTCTCTGATTGAGTTCGACACCCCTATTCTAGAGGAATCTAAATATTCTTATTAAGGTACTTCTCTGCAGATAATTATTTCTTAGTGTCTGACAAACCTTAAAAATGCTGTGTCACACTTAAGGTAGGTATACCAGTTAATGCGGATTTTTTTTTTCAATAGATAGAGTTACACATATGTTACTATATATGTGATTTGATATGTATGCTATTTTGTATTGACAGCAAACTTCAAAACTTCAAATGTCAAATTTTCTGAAGGTGTTAAATCATAGGTATTTTTACACTTAAAAATGACGAATTTCATACCAAAAAAAAGCATTTGCTGGAAGTTTTCATTATTTTGACGAAAAAGTTATCGTATACTTTGAAAAGTTTATGCTCCATCTCAAGATACTTGTGAATGCTGGTTTAAACACTTTAAAACTGATGGTTTTGATATTAAAGACAACGTCCAGGTCTACCGAACAAGTTTAAAGACCAACAATTATAAGCATTATTGGAAGAAGATGTGTGTCAGACTCAAAAACAACTTGCCGAAAGATTAAACATTGCTCAGCAAACAATTTCCAATCATTTATAAGCAATGGGAAAGATTTTTAAAGAAGGAAAATGGGTGTCACATCAACTGAACAAAAGACAAATGTAAAGTAGAATATTAGTTCATCTTTTTTTCTTTAATCATCCCTAAGAAGGTTTAACAATAATTGGCCTTTATTTCTCATGGGGTAGTAAAATAATTTCATTGTTATTTTAGAGGACAAATTACTAAGTAAATGGAATAATCAAATTTTAGAACTAGAAGGGGCATTTGAGCTCAACTGGGAGAATTTGTTCATTCAACAGAGGAGGAAACCCAGACTGAAAAAGGAAACTCTTGCTCATATTCTGACAATGACTTATCTGGAAGGTGGCTGGCTACCCTGCTAATGAGGCTTAGGTTGAAGCAAGGAATGTTTAGGTTGAGAGCAATGAGTCATGCATTCTCGTGGCTCTTTGAGATAGCCACCCAGGCATTCTTACCCCTCTACCTGAAATGGGAGGAGAGAAATAGCTTGGCTTCTATCTGGGGCACAGACATCTGGTCAATGTCAAGATTTTCCGATTTCATTCTTGCTAACTTTCCTTAACCCTGTCCATAGCTAATCAAAGTAGTTTCTAATATTTACCATGGATTTACTGTGTCCTATTTGTGATACACCAAATGTATCTAATGCACAGTAAAGATATCGTTTTCATTAATTTTCTGTTTTACTTTCATATTACCCTTGGACAGCAGAGGCTAGCAATGAGCACTCAAAATCACAGAAGGGACATGCACAATCAGAAGGTTGGACATGTAATAGATATCTGTTGAAAGGGCACAAGACAAAAAGCCTATCCTAACGATACCCCAAACCAGTATGTGTTTCGCTTTCCAACATTTACACCTCTATTTTTTGTTAAAAAGTAAAATCAGAAATCTTGTTAATTCCTTCAACAGATGTCCATTCAGCTTGTAGCTTTGAAAAACATCTAAAAGTGGAAAGACATGTGGAAAGGGATATGATTTTTTTGGTCAGTTGTGGATGAGTAAAGAAAAAGTGGCCCCCAATTCTCCCTCTCCGTGAAGGAGATGCTGCACACAGTGCACACGGGTGGAATTAAGCTTCTCATTGTGCCCTTATTAGAAAGTGAACAGGTGCCAAGCTATGCACACATTAGCAGAATACAATTAGCACAAGCTGCTGACTCAATTTGTAGTGCTGAGCACAGCAGTATAAAAACAGGACCATTGTAATCGTGCTAGAGTCAAAGAGAACTGTGAAGCAGTATTTGCTACATTTTTAAAAAAATTTTTTGCAATTTGAATCTAATACATAACACTACCATTAAACACCAAGAAAACACATTTTAAGATTTCATTTATCTTTTTTTTATATATATATATTTTATTGATTTTTTTTTACAGAGAGGAAGGGAGAGAGATAGAGAGCTAGAAACGTCGATGAGAGAGAAACATCGACCAGCTGCCTCTTGCACACTTCCTACCGGAGATGTGCCCGCAACCAATATACATGCCTTTGACCGGAATCGAACCTGGGACCTTTCAGTCCACAGACCAACGCTCTACCACTGAGCCAAAACGGCTTCAGCTCATTTATCTTTTGAAAAAAAATGTTTTTTAGTTCTAGATCGGCCTTTTTGGTGGAATTCACCAAACCATTACTATCAACAATCAAGGTATGTGACTGCCTCGTGTGAGGCTCCCTCAGGAGAGACACTGGAAAAATGGATAAAAGAGTCTGACTGTTGCTGCCAGTCGTACCTTAAATTGTGTTCATTGCTTTCCAAAAGCATGAGAAAGAAAGGAATAATTTAGGAACAAAGGGATTTAAAAGTGAAGTCCAAACAGGGAAGGGCACCTTTGAGAGTGGTGACTCTCAAGATTCTTTTTATCTCCAGGGGTGGCCTGAGTCCTATTATTTTAACATTTTGTTAAGATTCTCTGACAGTCAAAGCAGGAAAAATTATATTTTTTCTCAAAAATAAATTAGGGGAAGCAACACTAAACTTTAAAATTGAGAATTTTTCTGAACTCATAGGAATTAATGAGAACTTTTCAAATTTCCTAAAACTCTTCTTTGAGTCTGTTTAAGGGGAAAGAGACATTAACATGAGTGAAAGGAAAATAAATTTGGTGTCTTCTTTATATAGTGGCCCGCAAGTCATTTTAAAAGGAAACATTTTACTCTCTCCTTGATCACACACTGTCCACCACCACCTACTGTTTGTCTTGTTCTCTAACATCCTAAAACCTTCTTCCTGGTTTCCCTGAAATGCAAATGCTATCTATTGCTTTCAGGGATAAAAAGAAACTTGGAAACATGAGATTTCAGTGACCAATGGAACAATTCAGGAGAGTTACTCATGTGCCCTGCTTAGTCAATGCCTCTCAACCAACATTGGAGGGTCAATAACTGCTTCTCAAAATTCTTGACACTTACTTAGCTCTTGATCTAAACTAATCCTGCTATCATGCAAGAAGGATATATGGGGCCTTGGATTAGTGATCTAACTGACTTCACATTAAGTCAGCCTAATAGCTGGCCTTATGATAGCACTGTTACCCATGGAGTAGACATCTGCTCATTTTACCAGCCAAACATTTATCTCCCACTAAGAAATGGGTATTTACCCAGACTTCAACCTTAAATCAAGAGCCAAGCTAGCCCTAACTGGTTTAGCTCAGTAGATAGAGTGTCGGCCTGCAGACTGAAAGGTCCCAGGTTCGATTCCAGTCAAGGTTATGTACCTTGGTTGCAGGCATATCCCCACTGAGGAGTGTGCAGGAGACAGCTGATTGATGTTTGTCTCTCATTGTATTTCTAGCTTTCTATCCTCTCTTCTCTGTAAAAACAAAAAATCAATAAAATATATATTTTAAAAAAAAAAAGAGCACGCTAGTGATTATAACTGTTCTGGGAAAATCAGTGTCAGAGAAGGACTGAAATATTTCATTAAACAATTTACTGGAAAATACCCACTTCATGTCTTAGAATTTATTGAAAGCACATTTTATCTACCCTACTCATTCCCCACTTCCAAAATTCCGTACACATTACCAGAGCTTTATTTGAATTCCTTAGTTTAGCCCTATAAAATTCTTTGTTGGTGAGACTGTATTTCCTATACCTAGCAAGAATAAAACTTAAGTTAACCAATAGTTCTTCCTAGTGGCCTGGTGAGACCTT